CCTAGTCCGGAGTCCATTGTATGCATGATCATTTCCAAAGTCGGATCGTGGACGTGGTACATTCCCAGACATTTCGTCGGCATTGTAGACGGTATCGTCAGTGAGTTGCCATTCTTAGCACCACACAATAACTCGTCAATGACAAGTGAAGCCGATCCTTTGATCACACGTGTGCTAAATAGTTGTGGTATCTGCCATTGTGCCCTGGGCTATTCACATCTATATCCTATCACGCCTTCACTGTTACAATTTTCACCGTGCCTATTTCGATGTAGTGGGGTGTGCTTCTTTGAGCGACATTCATGAAAACCCTTCACACTTCATGCTGTCGTTCTCACCCCTTCACCCTTGTGCTGGGAATGTTGATCAGAGTCTGCAATATTGTTACGCAGTCCTCTTTCCATAGGTTTTATCAAAGTCTCCCTCTTGCTCCGTAGGATCCGACTGCTATATCCCTGGTTAACATATATCACACGACCCCTGCCATCCCATCCGTGCTACTCGAGGCGTTATTACCCCTCCCCTGCCTGTGGGTGGCTAATTCGAGGCTAAAGCCTCTGAGTAAGCTTCATGGTCAAGTCTTTGATACATGGACCACGTCTCTGATTAAACCTACTGTCAGCCAGCAAACGTTGTGGTTCATCTTTGACCTAATCAAAGCAAGCAGTACCCCAACATTTATGGATTGGCATACAAGAGACTAGGGCATATAAAGTCATAGGCTTGGTATTGGGGGTAAAAACACGATAGATGCGGCGGAGACTGGAGACAGGTGGTCCATGTTGCAAAAGGCTTTAGCCTCGAATTAGTCACCCAGACGCAGGGGAGTACGAATAACGCCTCGAGCGAAATACGTGAACCAGGGAGATAGCAGACGGATCCTACGGCGCAAGAGGGAGACTAATAAGACCTAGGGAAGGAAGACTGCGTAACAATATGGCATACTGATCAACATTTGCAGCACAAGGGTGAAGGGGGGGGGTGAGAACGCCAGCGTGGAGTGTTGAGGGTTTTCATCAATGCCGCTCAAAGAAACACACATAACTACATCTAAATAAGCACGGAAAAAATTGTAACAAGGAAGGCGTGATAGGAGGATATAGGAAATGTGAATAGCCCAGGACAGAAAGAGAGATACCACAACCGTTTAGCACACATTTGGTCAAAGGATCGGCTTCACTTATCTCAGATGATTTGTAGTGTGGTTCTAAGAATGGCAAGACTCACTGCCGATGCCGGCGAAACATCTGGGAATGTACCACATCCACGGTCCGACTTTGGAAATGATCATGCATACAATGGACTCCGGACTAGGTGCGTTCCTACCAACGTGATCAAGTCATTTTGTCCAATCTTTTATATCTTCCTTCTTAGCCTTCACCCCATGTTCACTCATGAGGCATCATCAGGCTCCTTTTTACATTGAAAAATTTAGCTTACATTCTCTATAAATAGTTTCATGAGATAGCTTCATCTGGTAATTTTGTACACTATTCAAAAGTTTTACCTGTGTAATTTATGAAAAAACGCTATGAATTGGGTTTTTTGTTTGCTCACCCTTCTCCTCCATTAAACCCTTAGTTTTTTTACTTTTAGCTATACATATAATTGTATGTATTTATAACAAGAATACGAAAACCTATCTTATGTATAAAAAGTGACTTATTAAGTCTTGTATTTGAAATTATTTTATATTGCTATTATCTTTATGCTTAATTAGCCACCTTAAATTCGCATGGTTATTTTAAGTTTATTATCCTAATCTTGACTATTTCATAATATTTTTACTCATCAAATTAATCTTTCCTTTAATATCCACCTTTATTCTATAAAATGCCGGAAATCGCCGCCATTATAAGATTCCGAGATAATTTGGTTAATTTGATCTTCCTTTGATTTTATCTATCAATATTGTCACTAACCTACCTTATATCTATTTTATATACTCAAACAGTTTATAAAGTATGAACGGACTCCAAAGAAGCAATTTATTAAAGACAAAATACATTGCTTGAAATATCCGCTCCATGGATTTCGTCTTTTTAAAATATTCATATACTTGCACAATTTCACTTAATCTATTTCACAAATTTCCATATATTTATAGATATTATCTTCGAAAATACTTTATATTATCAAAAAACTTCTTAACTCATTTTGGCATCATTCAATTAAGATATCCTTAAATGTTTTCATTCGAGCCGCTTAGCTAATCATTGTGGCTGAGAAGTTTCAAAAATACATAGTGTATGAGGGAAAAGCTAGATTTCGAGCGCTTCTGTAATACTTTAATGTCACAGGCAGAGTTTAGTGATGCCTATTTATAAATATGCCTTGCTGAAGCCGAAACAATATTGCCCTGAAGGATTTATTGTAGATTTGTGCAAAATCCTCACTGTACCATCCTACGACCTCGATAAATCCGTACTAAGCTTTCATTTATAGTGTGGTAGACATAATTTATATCCCATAACATGATTTAAGAAAATTATCTTTACGCAACTAAAAAGTTGCTCATCTGTAATCCTACCTACTTAATATAGTCTTAATAAGGCATTATCTATTTTAATTTACTATTTTATACTTACCCCTCATGCTTTTAGATGAATATATAATGTAAATGTAGCTCCTGCTGCCTGTTTAGATAAGTGAGAATTTAGTCCTACAATACTGATGCGTGTCTAAGTGTGGCTCTTCATACTCCACATGGCTGAGAGAATTACCGCCTAATTTTTTCTCTTGTTTCTCATATTCAGAATAGTGGTTGTTCCTTATTTTATATTTAATCAGAATAAGAGAATTCTTGGTGACCTTTGTCTGGTTTGGGCTATACCTACTTGATTCAAACATTGCGTGAGCTTAACGGACATACAGCCACACACCTAAGCACGCGGCAACATTGAAGGATTCAATTTTTTTGAAAGAAAATGGCTTAAGCCACATAAATATCAGCTCCACTCCTCTGCTTTCATTTTAAAGTTCATGTAAAATATACATGCGCTAAGATAACTAAGCTACTTACATTTTTTTATCTCTTAGGGATATAAAGGTTACTTCAAATGATTGCTCTGTCCAGATATATCCTTAACTTATTGATGAAATTTTCGCCCAGATTATAAAATCTTCTAAGATAAAACATATTCGCCCAAATCCACAACATTGGGGAACGTACCTATTTCCGTGTCCTCTGACATAGTATTCATTTTTCCAGCATTGGGCTATTGACTTAGTACATTGCCAAACGTTTTGCTGGCATCTTTAGTGAGAGGTGTCATCATCACTACAGAGTAACAACTTATCAAAATGACTTCCCTATCTGGAGATAGAATGCAGAGCCTAAAGCCTATACAATTTGATAATAGATATTAAAACCAAGATAATGTGATCATAGGCTTGGTTTAAATCCTTATTTACATAGTCTTAATCTTAACTATTTTTCACAACCTGGTTGGCGTGTATGTAGACCTTGTAGACCCAGTCCTGCATCCACTGCCATAATGCTTTTGACACGTTTCAGTGTCGGATCGTTGACTTGGTTCATTCCCAGAAGTTTCACTTGCATCAATGACAAGCGACATACTTAATATCGATTTACACAAAGTTACTTTTCGCTTTGACGAGTTTTATCTCTGTGCTAAGGATGGTGCCCCTTACTGACGATGCCAGTGAAAGGTCTTTTATTGTACCAGCTCATCGGACCGATACTATATCTCGTGAATAATATGGTATAAGACATAGGGGTAGTTACGTTCCATAAAGTCTTTCTTTTTCCCCAAACAAAACGGGGTAAAACCAACATTACCATATCTCTAAACCTTATTTACAAATGAAAAATTACCATATTTGTTTTATCCATGTGAGGGAATCACTTGTCAAAACTCGACTCATCTATACATCTGATTCCTACCGTTCATATAAAACTAGTTGGCAGCCAGTGCTCAATTGTATTTAATAGTAGATTTTTATGGAGTTGATGCATCCAAAAAGTAATCCCATTACTACTTCGGTAAATTTAATTTAACTGCATTTCATAGGATAGTTTGTGAGTAATCATCCACTTTCAACAAGCTTTATTATGGAAACGATCTTATTCTATATTATGCTTACTATAATACTTACCGTATATCATCCTCCAGGCGGAAATGGGCATGACCAACACAGCACATAGCATATCACTGATAGCTAGCGATACCAGGAAGAGATTAAATCTATTTCGCAGCTTCCTCTCCAGATATACGGCAAGACAGACGAATACGTTGCCCCAGACGGTCCCAAGAGAAACTAAGTAGAGAAATGTGAATTGCCACTTAATCTTCACAGCTGCTGGACCATTCTCAGTCACATTTTCCGCGAGGAGCAATATCCTTGCGTTTGATGAGGCCTCCGTTAATCCATTTTTAGTTAATTCCATGATCTGTTTATTTAGTACTTATTTCTTGCATTATATTTCTTCTAATGCAGAAGTATTTTAGGAGCTTATTATCACTGCTATGATCCGCTCTACTTATCCTATGACACATCACTATCTGTGTTTAAATTGTAGTAGATTAAAGCTTTATACATACAATTCTGGGTCCAGCTATCTCCTTAACTTGACCGTGTGAAGTTTCTATAATTCTGTCATAAGCATTAGTCCTGCTGCATGCGTCTTCAATT